AAGGTATCTGTTCAGTAGATCTCTGAGGAAATGGCTTCAGTAATGCTGCAGAAGTTTCCCTTTCATTTATGAGGAGTGTTCAGATGATAGTTCTACCTTACAGCTCTCTAAATAGACAGTTATACTTAGTACCAAGTCCCACTGCAATCTCTGAGTCAGTATCACTGAATAATTAATCCGTTAAAAAAAAAAAGCTGTGATGTTTTTTGTAAATAATATTTACTGCCTGAAATAAAAAGTTAAAGCCTGTCTCATGTTACAGTGAAGGGTGGGAAAAAGGAAGGGAGTAAAAATCATTTGGTCTTAAGTGAATAAGGTTGGAGAGTAGAGTGACATAAATAGAAATAGATTGATCTTCCATTCTGTAATGGATCTCTACCTGTAGGAATAAATAAAATGCCGATGCAGACAGAGAGTTTATTCTGTAAAAGGCTGTATGATGACGCTTTTCAACTTCAGGTGTTAAACTGTCAAAAAAATCTTGTAACCTTTCAGGTGACTTTTGTGCTCTATTAAAAATTGCAGGAAGCAACACTGGGGGTTTAAGTGTTTTTGCCTTCACCTGTCTATTTCTTGCTAAGAAAGGTTGGACCAGATGATTCTTGAGGTCCCTTCCAACCTGGGATTCTATGATTTGGGGACAGGGGTTGCGCATAGAGAATGTCCACTTGCAAAATAACTTTCAGATGAATCTTGAAGAAATAAGCTTTCATGAGTGAACACCCACATGGAAATACACATTCAACCACTTATTAGTGGACTCTACTCTTCCCCTGATCCTGTGCTAGATTAAGATGCCTCCTGCTGGGAATCTGATCTGTCTGTGAGCCATTTAACTTCCAGATCATGAGCTGTAGAAAGTTGAGGTTTGGCTGGAGGCAGTGTCCTAATTCTTGGTCTAGACCTAAGCGAAGTTCCAGCAAATATACTCTTTAAGGCTTATCTGCAATTGTCTTTGCCATGCCAGGGCAATTGTAATCATCTAGTGCCTTTCCATCTTCCCACTCCTTGGAAGAGTTGTTGCAGAAGCAATATGAGAAAGACCTGCATGGGACATCTGACCAAGGGATAAGGAATACAATTGACAGGAAAGTCAAGGACAGATGGTGCTTAGCACAGTTGCGACTCCAGTTCAGCTTCCAAGGAGGAGGAAGACTCGCTTAGGAAGTCTCTGATCTAAGAAGTTGAGCTGTAGCATGTAGTCCTTCTTATCTGTGGCCCATCAGTGTGACACAGCTTAGGACATTTTAAGCATTAAATTAGTGTAACGGGGGGTTCTGCAAATGGGGTTTCTTATGCAAATCTGATTTTGGATACCTCAGTCACTTCCTCAAGCAGGAACAGAGGTTTTATGTCACCTTTTGTTCACGTAGTGCCCCATTGTCATAGTAACATCTGAATATGTTACTGACTTTATGGTGAAAGAACAGCCAGTATATATTCATAGCTCCTGCATGTTGGGCAGATGATCTACACAGGTCAGAGATGATATGCAGAGACTGAGTGAGATTTTAAGTCAAGCTGAAAGGCATCTGTTCTTGTCCATTCAAAGGGAGTACTACTTTGCAGGTACTGGATAAGATTGCAGAAACTTAATAATAGCCAGAAAGTATGAGCATTTATCAGAAAAACAAAGACAATTTGAACTAGGAAATAAATAGGTAATGAAGTAGAAATATCCTAGAGATTAAGGTGTTTATATTTGATTGTTTGTATTTGCAGCACAGTGGTGGTTGGATACCACAAAAAGCAGTAAGTTTGTCCTCTGGAAAATGAGAGGAACTGTAAAGAAGACTATGCCCTGTCCACTTGTGCTGTGCAGGAAAGATGGTTTTGAGTGCACCCCTGAGATGTGCTAAGCCTTCAGCTTGAGACCTTTTCTCCTTTGAGCAGCTGTGTATACATAAAGCACATACAATACCTGTGCAAAGGATTAGGCTACGGCATCTGTTCAGTAATCCTGAGTAGTTGAAGGTGTTAGAAGGTTTTAAATATCCTTTCCAACAGACACTTGATGAAGTCATGTAGGCCATATGAGTTAAATCAGTACTACTTATGTTTTGCCTGTTTAGTTGGTAACTAATAAAGTGGTGCATTATACTTATTTATAGTAAGAATCTTCTGTAGAAATAAACCTCAGTTCCAGCTGGACAATTGGATCCCTTGTTCAGATCCTGCTGGAGTTTCCTGGCTTTTTATGTGGCTGTTAAACAGTGCTTACAGATAGCTATCTCGTGCTTCTGAATATTTTAATTGTAACTTTACAGTGTCAGTTTGGGAAGCAGTTGCTTTGTGGTGCTTCCTCTGAGTTGGAAGACAGCGTAGGGTGAGAGAGAGCACCTAACCAGTCCCATGCACCCTAAAAGGGTGAGGATTGTTGAGGTCCAGTTGAAACTGTTTTTGAAGAGTGGGAGTGTATGGTAAGTGAGAGGAGGGTTTATAGGCGCACCTTCACTGTGCTGGTAAATAGAGTTCTTAACTGTGGTTGCCATTAACAGCCTTACCTGACTAAATCTGGCAACATATGCTGCTTCAGTTACTGCACTTGCTATTATGATATGTTAAATCTGCATAATTGTTTGTAAGTTGGCAAGACTTTATTGATCAATGATGTGCTCTGCTAAGAATGTAAATTTTTTTCAGCTAAAAATAGTTGCTTGTTTTGTAGTTTACCAGCCATTTGAGGTGTTCCTATGCTTCTTTCTCCCTGTAGTGTACTTAATTGTATAGAATGTCACATTGTTAAGGCTACAGACTCACTAGGAGTACAGATTCAGGTTTAGAATAGTAACTTTCCTGGGTATATATGCTTGTTTCTGGGTACTTGGTGGAGGTTTTGGAGAACCTCTGTTTCAGTCAGCGTAGGGAATGGACTTGGTCTGCAGGTGATTCAGAACTGTTGGACCACTGTCTTGCTTGCTGCAGCAATTGGAATGTATCTAATGAAAGAGGCAGGGGACTAAAATTGCAAGAAACTGGTTTTGTCCTGGTCTGTGGGCTGACTGTTGTAGTTTTTGTAGTGCTGGGGAAAGACATGACAGTGCAGTGTCTCTCTAATTGTTACTGATCATGTTAGTAGCCAGTCTTATTTACTGGTGATTTGATGTACCATTTCAAATGCAGTTCTCATTGTGTACTGTTCCATGGGAAAAGTAGAGGTTAAGGTAAAGGAGGACTGATACTGCACATAGGGACTGCATTTATGGTTGTAGAAGCAACCTTAACTTCCTAAAGACCAGAGTTCTTAGCGTGTCATCTAGATGTTCTTATTATATTAATTTTAATGCTTAGTGTCTCATCCCCTCCCCACTTCTAGTTTGTGTATTTAAAAAAAACCAACAAAACAAAAAAAAGTCAAATAAAACCCGAACAGCTCACTCTGTACAGAGTCATTAAATTAATTTTGTGCAGACAGTAGCTGTTTATGCTATGGCAGAAGCTAGAGGATGATAAGATGTTAGTATATTATAGAGTTATATAAAGGTTTCTCTGTCCCAAACTACCCATTTTAACCTCTTCTATACGTGCTCTTGATGGCGCAGTACCAGTTCCCCTTTGGGATCATCTCATAAAGGTTGCTTCCTACCAACATTGTCCAAGTCTGTCCTTATCTGTTTGCTCACATGGTTTTCTAATCTCTTATCAGTTCTTCCTAGATCCTGCTATTTTCACTTCTGCTCCTGACCTTTATAGGAATTTAAATTCAACAAATTATTCCTTTTTTCCCCTTCTGTTTCCTCCCAGTTGGATTCTCTCTTCTATATTCCTATGGAACTTCTATTTCACATTGCTTGTGTTTCAGGAGGGAAAAGGCTTTTTTTGTATTTTTTTTTGGGGGGGGTTGGTTTTTTGTTTTTTTTTTTTTTTTTTTTTTAAAAAAAAAAGGAGTAATGAGTGTTGGAGATGAAGGACTTGCTTAATACGTAGAAGAGACAGCCTGTATCTTAGAGCAGCCACTTGCAGGGGAGGTCCACCTTTGATTCTGTAGAATTGGACTAAAGTAGCTGTGTTAAGCCACTCTGTCGAAGTGACAAATAATCCATCCAGTGCTAGATGATTGGTTTTGAGTAAATCTAGCAAATGAGGATTTTGAGTTTTTTAGCTCCCTAATATGAAGTTCTTCAATGATCAGTAGGTGTTTCAAGGGGTTGTTTGGTTTGGTTTGTTGTTTGTTTTTTTTCTCTGCTCTTCAGAAGTTTAACATATGACCAAGTTTCTGTGCATTATAACAGTGTCTAAAGGGCGCATATCTGATGGAGGGGTTAACCTTGACCAAGCTCTAGGTACCTGCTGTAAAGAACGAAGCACCAAACTGCTTTTAAAAAAAACAAGTTAACATACCTGAGCAGATCTGAAGAACGTATGCATATGCATCTAATCTCTGACAAACGCAAAATAAATTTAAGTTAATATGGACTGGATTGCATGTCCTTGCTACAGACATGCCACACTAAAACCATTCCAGCCAAGTGGATCCTTTACTTATAAGTAAAGTGTTGAGTTCATGATGCTGTATGTGAAGTCACCTGATGAGAATGGAACTGATTATGTAAATTGCCTGCTGCCTCTTCAAAATATGTGAAAAGTGGACTGCACAGAGATGACATTTGAGAAATATTACTTTAAGGAGCTTGAGTTACTCAAGCACGACAATACTAAAGTTTCAAACTGGCTTCCTCTGTACATAACTAGAGTTCAGATGCATATTCCAATAGTTTGCTGTTAGAAGACCAAGATTTTTTTAAATATAACTCTTCAGTACAGAAGTCTTTTCTCATCAAGGAAGAAGCATTTTGTCTTTGTTTTATTTAATTTAAAAGGAAAGATGAGTCTGCAATGCAAAGTGCAAAACTATGACTGTCTGTCCAGATCTGAAAGTGTGAATTTGAGTTTTCTTTTAGGCTTGTCCTTCTGCAGTGGTGTTCAGTTGATTTGGCATGTTTCTTACTTTTTTTTTTTAAGTTTACTGAAATAAAACAACATAATGTTTTTACTTACAGCACTTGAAGAATCGGAAAGTGACATTTATGTGCGATTCATGAGGTCACACAAGTGTTATGACATTGTTCCAACAAGCTCTAAGCTTGTTGTTTTCGACACTACGCTACAAGTGAGTATTGTCCTTTCAGTCTGCTTTTGCTTGCATTTCATTTTTTTAGAGTGTTTCCGGAGTGTTAAATGATATTTGATCTCTTGAAGAGAAATTCTCCCATAATGCTGTGCTTTGACTGTACAAAACCATATTGTTTCAATTGTATCTTTGATGTTATACTAGAGGAGGAGTTTGAGGAAGACTTCCTTGCAGAACGGAAAGAGAGGATATAATTTGTTTTGCGGTTGGAATCACTATCTAAAAAACTTTCAGATGAGCCCAAACTTATATTGGCTTCTTCGTGGCTATCAGAATTTACAGTTAAGAGACTTTACGTAACGATCCCTGTACAATAGCTAGAGTATCCAGGTGTTTTGAGCCTGTTCCTGCTATATTGGTAAGACAATTTAGCACTAAAATGGATGGCTTAACTTTGCAAATTATTACATTCTCCAGAAAATTTTTCTTTTCTGTTTCTCATTTTGCTCTTACTCAGTAAATGATCTGCTAGACTCTTGGCTCTGTCTGAAGAGTTTGTTTGCCAAAAGAAGGCATTAGCTGCCTGCTATAGAAACAGAGTAATCTGTTCTGCAATGGTAGAAAGCTGTGGCTTTCTTTTTGTTTCCTGGATTTTGCAATTGGTGTTTTTTTGGCTTGTTTTGGTTTTTGTCTGTTTCGGTGTTTTTTTTCTTTTAAAGATGCTCCAATTCTGGCTTATCTAAGGCTGTTAAGTAATTTTGGTGTGGAATGTACTGCTCAATTACACTTCAGCTTTCCACAGTCAGAGGCAACCATGTAGTAGATACTGAGTCCCAAAATGTTCACAGAAGCATCTTGCGTATCAGATAATCATACATAATGCTAGATTGAGTGCTAAAATCTAAAAGGCGAAAAGCCTACATTGCACAACAAGGCAAAGTAATGAGGTGGATCAAGAGCGCTGCACACGCATTAGTCTATTCATAGAATGACCAACAGCATCCTTCTTGAGTTCTGCAGCACAGCTAAAAGCCCTGAAGTTTCAGTTACTGCTCAGTACAAAAAAAGCAATTTTTTAACTTCAGCACTCAACTTTTTTGATTATCTAGGCATCTCCCCAGTGAGGGAGTTTCCTTCTCTTGACTCTAGACTCTGAGCACACCGAGGCTTCAATGTGTTGCCTCTGATACCTTGGCTGAGTCCTTAAAGGTAAGTATCCTATCCAGTACTCATATTATGTTAAAACTTGAGCAGGGCTGTGGTTAAGATTCTGCCTGTGTGATAAAGGACCTCCTGCTGCTAACTGATCTGGTAGCTAAGAAGGTAACACTGATTGTAATGGCTGATCACCAGTGTCTCATGTCAGATTATTTCCTCCTTTACCCAGAAGGCCAGACTTCTACTGTAAACTTTCTGTCCTTAAGCACCTTGATATCAATGGAACAGTTGCTTTTATTTCCTTAGGGTTCCTCCATGTGCTTTACTGGACACTGGATTTTGTAGTGAAAAGACACCTGATCGGTGATTAGAGATGGAAAAAGGTAGCCTGTAGTCTTAGAGGAAGAGCTTTCAAGCACACAGATGTCAGCCCCGCAGAGTTTAAATGTTCACATTGTTGATTTTCTTTGTATATTCCACTTCTTGACTGTTTTCATACAGTCTTTCAACTGCATCTGCTCTTGCATTTCACCAGTCACATGCACTCTAATTGTGCAAGCACTGTAAGCTCTAGTGAAGAGTACCTGTTACATTTAGATATAATAGTAATGAATACTTTTTGCCACTCTTCAGAGATTTCTTTCTCTGTCTCTCAAAAGCTTGCTTCTTTGGGAGGTTGATTGTGTTGACTTCTTCACCAGCTCAGAGGGAAAAAGTTCTGCAGTTTTTCCTTTTTTTCTGCCCAAAAGAGAGAATGACTGTCAACTCTGGACTAAAGAATTCAGACTCCTTTCACTAGAAAGGTCAAATTTGGGATGGTAGTGTTTACTGTCACTCTGTCAGCTCTTCTCAAAAACTATTAGCTTCCTTTTGATTCCGGGGATATTTTTACAATATGAAATAATCTGTTGGGAGTTGGTACCTGCAGCTTGTTAGCATGACACTCAACCTGTTGAGTTTTCAGCTGTCAGTGGTCACCTGGGTCAAAGGCTTGAGCTTAGTCACTGTTGCAATTGGAAAGATAAATTTTCTTTATTCCACGAACCACTAAATCTTGGGGCCATTGAGGCAGATCACCCATTCCTTTTGGATTCCCCAGATCTTATGATAAATTACATAAAATCATGCCAGATACCACTTTTCATTGCTAGACCTGTGTTGAGATAATGCTATTAACATATAGAAGTTTGAGTTTCATCTCCAGTTGGTGAGCCAGCGTGAGGTAATACTTGGAGAAGCACAGAGTGTGAGTGAATGAACCTTGTGAATATTCACCATAAAGGAAAATAGGTGACTTAATGGTAATGGAAAAACTTTCACCAACATGACCAAAATCCCTGTCTTACTTGTAATCCATGACCATCATTAGGGATCCCAACTGCAGAAGAGCAAGGCATGCTTTGGTGTATGATCATGGAGTCATATTCTCAGTCTGCTTCTCCAGGTATTTGAAAGCAGTGGTGATAGAAGGGGAGTCTGTAGTTATTCATTCAGACTCTGGTGTGTGACAAATGTAGACCATATCTTGAACCTGAATTACTGGTGAGGAGGTTGTTTGTTTGTTTGTTTGTGTTTTTTTTCTCCAAACTGCAATTTTTGGACTTCGCACCATTACATTTAATCCCAGTTACATTACTCTTAATTTATAAATTTGTAAAGCAGTAGTCCTCTTCCAGTATTGGCACTGTCTTCCAACTTTGCAGGTTTTGCAAAACTACTAAATTAAGGGTTATTTAAGAAAATATTAAAACAGGTTGATCTGATTGCTCATCCTGGGCTACTCTGCTAGGAGGTCTTCTAAGTACTTCTCTTCAGTATTTCCTTTTGTAGTTCTTTACCTAGCACCTTGTATTAATGTTCTACCTTCAGTATCTTCAAATGTAATGTATTTCTTCAGCTTGATCAGTGTGGCTGGTGCACATACACGTGTCTGGAATATAAAAGTAAATTAGCTTTAAAAAAGAAAAAAACCAAAACAAAACAAAAAAAAAACCCAGCTGAGTAAGTGTATGGTGGAGAATGTACCTAATAAGGGTAGTCAAACAAAAACTACTAAAGTCATAGAACTGTTAGGATTGGAAGGGACCTCAAAGATCATGTAGTTCCAACCCCCCTTCCATGGGCAGGGACATCTCCCACTAGACCAGGTTGCTCAAAGCCCCATCCAACCTGGCCTTGAATGCTTCCAGGGATGAGGCATCCACAACTCTGGGGAACATGTTCCAGTGTCTTCCCAACCTGACAGTAAAGAGTTTCTTCCTAATATCTAATCTAAATCTCTCCTCTTTCAGTTTTAAACTGTTACCTCTCATCCTATTGCTACACTCCCTAATAAAGAGTCCCTCCCCATCTTTCCTATAGGCCCCCTTCAAGTACGGGAAAGCTGCTATAAGGTCTCCCTGGAGCCTTTTCTTCTCCAGGCTGAACAATCCCAACTCTCTCAGCCTGTCTTCATAGCCCTCTGATTGTTTTCATGGCTCTCCTCTGGTCTCACTCCAACAGGTCCATGTCCTTCTTATGTTGGGGGCCCCAGAGCTGGATGCAGTACTGCAGGGGGGTCTTAGGAGAGCAGAGTTAGAGGGACAGAATCACCTCCCTCGACCTGCTGGCCACGATTCTTTTGATGCAGCCCAGGATACGGTTGGCTTTCTGGGCTGCAAGCACACATTGCTGGCTCATATTGAGCTTCTCATCAGCCAAGTTCTCTCCTCAGAGCTGCTCTAAATCCATTCTTCACCCAGCCTGTACTTGTGCTGGGGATTGCCCTGACCCATGTGCACGTAGCCTTGTTGAACTTCATGAGTTTTGCATGGGCCTACCTCTCCAGGCTGTCCAGGTTCCTCTGGTCCCTTCCCTCCAGCATGTTGACTGCTCCACACAGCGTGGTGTCATCGGCAAACTTGCTGAGGGTGCGGTCAATCCCATCCATGTTGCCAACAAAGATGTTAAAGAGCACTGGTCCCAATACTGATCCCTGAGGAATTCTACTCATCACTGGTCTCCACTTGGACGTCGAGCCATTGACTGCAATTCTTTGAGTGCGGCCATCTGGCCAATTCCTTATCTACCGAGTGCTCCATCAGTCAAATCCATGTCTCTCCAATTTAGAGACAAGGATGTCATGTAGGACAGTGTCAAATTCTGTGCACAAGTCCAGGTAAATGATGTCAGTTGCTCTTCCCTTATCCACCAATGCTGTAACACCACTGTAAAAGGCCACCAAATTTGTCTGACACGATTTACCTTTAGTGAAGCCATGTTGGCTGTCACAGATGTTCTTTGTGTTTTAATTTTTAATACATATAAAATATAATTTTTTAATACATAAATTACTTATCTTCCAGTACTTCAAGACTTTCTATCAGTTCTTATTTTAAAACATAGTATGCAGCTTTGTGAAACATTCACTGCCCGTGAACCCTCTTAAACTGAGAAGATTTTGAGGTATTTGTCTTTCCTGGATTGGTTTCACCCCTGCCTACATCAGTGTTTCTACTAATTTAAAACAAAAAAACGCCTGGTTCCTTGAAAAAATTCTCCCAAGATTTGAATTCAAGTTTTTAATAATGCTAGAGCTAGGCCAGAATATATGAGGGCTTACTTTTTGCCTCCTTTAGTATAAGGTAGTAGCAATCAATGGAAGAAGAAAAAATGGAGCTGCCTTGTGTTCTAACAGCATCCTTTGTAAGATTGTACCGTTTGATTTTAATTTGACTACAGCATCCTGTCTCCCTCTACTGGTCAGCAATCACAGCACACATGACATGTTTCTACTCTGGAAAATTATTCATGAGATACTGTGGAAAGTATTCCAAAACTGTTGTTAGCTGTTGGAAAACTAGAGATGTTAACTTCTGTAATGTGGCACAAGTCATACTGCT